CACACACACACACACACACACACACACATATATATATATATATTGAGATAATTGAAAATGTATAATAGTTACGATATATTAAATTTTTAACATTATGGTACCAAGAATTGTAAAAATCAACTATCGTCTTTTTTGTTGTTGTTTTGTAAATTTATTGTCAATAACTTAATATGGTGAAATGTCTAAATCGTATTTGTATATCATCTGAAACTTGTAATTATTTTCTTTCGCGTAATATATTACCTGTAGAGTATCGAAAATGAATGAAGTTGTGGCAGTGAGTATTAAGATTAAACAATAGCCAAGTTTTTATATTTTTGTTTAAAGAAAAATGACGTTTCGAGCTAGTGTTCTTCAACAGATCGTATACAGTTTGCAACAAAGGCGCATGCGCAGAATTCAAGGAACTAGCATGCGTAGTGTTTGAGTGTTGAACGTAAAAATTCTAAGCGAAATTACATCTACTACATAAAAATTAATGAAATGAACAGATAGCAATTAAAATATAAACAAAAAATGGAAAAATATAAATCCACAGGAAAGAAAAGCGTTCATTTAAACCAAATGGTTCTAGGGTCCCCAATTTGTAGATTAATTTCATTTCCAGTCGTTCTGTTTTGTGAATGTCTGTTGGAGCACTAATAAGTCCCAGAATCAAAAAGCCCCCAACTGGATGGTTATTGATGGTGAAATGTTTGCCTATAGGTGTATTTTGGTTTTGCAGTTTAATATGGTTTAGATGTTCTCGTGCTCGATCTAGTTCTTTGAATTCTGCACATGCGCCTTTGTTGTAAACTGTACGATCTGACGAAGAGCACTAGCTCGAAACATCATCCTTCTTTAAAAAAAAAACTTGGCGATTGTTCAACCTATTATTTATTTTTGTTATTTTCGTCGCCTATATTTGGCAGTGATAATTAAGGCTAATTTCCGTAGATTATATTAGGGGGTAAACTGGGACTTCGCGTATGAAGTGTATTTAAACTTTAAGCTTAATTGTCGATTTTTTAGGTGCCTTTTGAAATTTGCATTGAGATGTAATGGTATTGCGTTATTTATAAGCCACGGATAGGTATAGAAATAACTTAATATGTTTCATTGCATGTTTGTTTATGTTAATGAAGTACTTATCTTTAAAGTTAATGTTATAAGCGTCGTTTACTTTTGCACTCGTATAAACATAAAAGTTGCTATGTGAGCTATCATGCATAGACTGACTGACACACATTGTTCTTTTAATTACATAGATAGTAAAAATGAAACTTGTTTGACACCATTTCAATGAAATAGATTTTGTAAGATTGTTTGTTTGTAGTTAAGCACAAAGGGCTATCTGGATTTTGGTATACTGCACGTATGCGTTCTGTCTGAATTTTGGAGGTAAATTAGAATTACCTTTGATTTTGTCCTGTGCATACAAGAAATAGGATTGTCTTTGTCTTGTGTAGATATTCCAAAGAAAGCCTCCCTTCATTCATATCAGCAGCCAGCAAAATTAGAAGCCTGTCAGTAGATGAAATAACACGTATTCTTTTTACCGTGAATAAAGATTTGGTTACTAGTGCGTATGTTTATGTTCTTTGCTGTCAGGGGTTCGAACCCCCGTCCCACCAAACATGCTCGCCCTTTCAGCCGTGGGGGTGTTATAATGTGATGGTCAGTCCCACTATTCGTTAAAATACTTGGTGGTGGGTGGTGATTACTAGCTGCCTTCCCTCTAATCTTTCAATGCTAAATTAGGGACGGCTAGCGCAGATAGCCCTCGTGTAGCTTTGCGCGAAATTCATAACAAACCAAACTTTACTGTCCAAATTTGATTTACTCTCTGCATAGCATTTTCAGAACCAGAACTGTGTGAATATTTTTAAAATCTGTCGGAGATCAGAGTATCTGAATACCACAGACCAGTTAAAAGTAACAATTTGGGAATATGACAAAAGTATCTATTACTCTGTAGTTTATTTTGAACATGTTCCTCTTTTGTTTGAATCTCTAATGTTTGTAAATCGAAATCATTGTATGCCATTTTCTAAGAACATATATATCTTACGATATAAAGTAGAAAGTCTTTGCTAAAGCAATTGTGCCAACCTTAGAATTTTGTTTTTACTGGCATGCAGACAAACAGTGGCTTTTTGACTGGTACTGTATTTTTTGCTGTTTATGGGCTTATAGGTAGTGTTAAAATGTGAGTTTTTTGTTTGTTTTTTCCGGACGGTTGGCAACTCTGGACTAAAGTGAAAACTAGAGTGGAGAATATGTTAAGGACTAAGATAGGTACTTTCGTAGACCTAGAGCTTTTGCAGACAATGGTGAGAGCTAAATATGAAGTCTTTATATGGCCTTGGGAATGAGGTTGATGGGCATCTGACTAGGTTTTTCTGGGCGTCTATATCACAACAATATACAATAGTCACCTTGTGTGTTCTGGAGCATAATACAGAAGAGAAGGGTCATGGTAGCTTCGAACAACCTGAATATGCCAAAACGTACTGAAATTGCCTTTATAGGACGCCAAGATGCTTGTTAACAAGTGCGGGCATCACAAGGT